TAGTACAGCACACCGGTGTAGTGTAGTGTATTGTGTATAGTAGTGTAGTGTGTAGTAGTGTCGTGTGTAGTGTATAGTGTAGTGTATAGTAGTGTAGTGTGTAGTAGTGTAGTGTATTGTGTATAGTAGTGTAGTGTATAGTGTAGTGTATAGTGTAGTGTGTAGTGTATTGTAGTGTATAGTGTAGTGTATAGTGTAGTATACTAGTACAGCACACCGGTGTGTTGGAGAGCCAAACCACAACATTTACATATTCTTTGGGTCACGTAGATACGTTCAAATTAATAAGAATAAAATAAAAACTACGACGTTTCGATCGCAACACAAGCGGTCATCGTCAGGCGGAGAGACGAACCTATCTACGTGACTTTACCGAAAGACCCAAAGAATATGAATTCCTGCAGTCACGAAAGCTTTAAGTCAAGATAATTTTTTGGGCTGTTTGTACACATCCTTGTTGAATTTTGTTTCAGCCAAGTAGTGCCCCCCCCCCACTTTGCCCGAGCCAACGTGGTGCTGAGAAATGAATGCATGAAGAATGAGCATCAATATTTGAACCAATTGCCCATTTTGTGAGGTATCCTAAACACGGCTGGTAACTTTGCAAGCGAATAAAACAAAACAAAATCAACGGACGCTCTGTATGAGTGGCGTAATTTGTTCGCGGTCGCTTATTACTCTTGGAAACCCACATTGTGTACGATCAGTGAGTTTAGAAAGGTCTACATTTTTAATTGAAACTTTCGTGACTGCAGGAATTCATATTCTTTGGTTCTTTCGGTAAAGTCACGGAGAAAGAAAAAGAATAAAAAATAAAGTGAATATGATTTATATTATTTTTATTACCTTTATTTTATTATTATTTTTCTATCTACGTGACTTTACCAAAAAAAAACAAATAATATTCATGAAGGTCTTTTACATCGTTCTAGGTCACCGCTTGGACTCAAATTTGATCGTCGTTATTTTATATTGGCAGATTCGTACGTGATTGTTCACCAATGGCTCTCACCTATGACATAATTTCACAACATTTGATCTTTATAACGGTACCCCGGGGTACCAAATAACACAAAATGGTCGAGGCAATTAAATATTTAATTTCTAGGACACAATTTTTTCCAGGGGTGTACTTAACTCCGTGACTGGGGTACCAATCAATCCGAAATCTGTGCTTCTCCGCGATGCCGAAACGCAGCGAGGACGATTGCGCTGAAACCCTGAACGCTCTTACTTCACCGTAGCGGTGCATCGTGTACAGCTCGTCGAGATGAGTCGATTGCCGCATCGCCGACCATCAACAGACTAAAAATGACTGCATCACGGACATTATGCGAGAGCCGGGGTACTCTGATACCCCGGGAAACCGCTATAAGGTTCATTTATAAATCACCTCAAGTAATCCCCTTTGTCACGTACCCGCTCAGGGATTCGCGTACCCCCCGGGTTGAGAACCACTACTCTAGAGGTGTCCTTCTAGTCCAGCAGATGGAGCCCACCATCGGTGGCCCTGAACAAAGTCATTGCTTTGCAGGGCGTCACCTTTACACCTTGAAATGACGAAATCAGAATGTTTATTTATACTGGAGGAATCCGATGAGATATTAAGCTCTTTTCTCACAGATGTACAGTGAATTTCGATTTAAAGCTTCTTTCGTGACTGCAGGGATTCATCTTCTTGGTTCTTTCGGTAAAGTCACGTAGAAGGGAAGTAATAAAATGATAAAAATAAAACATAATAAAATAATTCTCACGACGTTTCGGCTGCTTGCGTTGTAGCCGAAACGTCGTGAGAATTATTTTATTGTTTTATTCTTATTATTGTATTACTTCCCTTCTATGTGACTTTACCGAAAGAACCAAGAAGATGTACAGTGGTCCAGATGTTTTGTGACCCACATTAGCGGTAAAGTACAGAACGGTAACGGGGCGCAAAGAGCGACAACCCCGTGCCAAGATATAAAAAAATAAATTGAGAAATAATGGTGGCGGATGCCCCCTTATCGATGAGCACCCGCACCTCCACCCCCCTGTATCGTTCCGATGACTAACCAGTGAACTCAAACACGTACACCAAGCTCCCGAGGCGAATGGATATTCTGACTACACAATTCGCAAAGCCATCACCCCAACTGTGAGGAAGAAGCCATCTGAAGATTCAAGCAAAATCATCACCTTGCCTTACATAGCAGGGGTAACAAAAAATATTTTCAAAATCTTGAACAAACACAAGATCCAGGACCGATTTAACACAGTGCATAAAATTCGTGATCTGATCCCATCTGTGAAGGACAAGATTCCTGACATGCAATATCCCGGCGTCTACAAACTAAGCTGTGTCTGCGTCAGCAGTTACATTGGGGAAACTAAACAACATGTCTCGGACCGTGTTCGTGAACATAAGGCAGATCTGAAACACGGCAGGACCAATACTTCTGCCCTGGTTGATCATTACTTTAATGCGGTTGGCTCACGTGACATTGATTTCTCGAAGACGATGGTACTTTGCAAGCCGACTGGCCATCAACAAGGATTCGTTCACGAAGCCATCCATCTATACAGACACAGACACAATTTCAACCGAGACGACGGTTATAAACTCAGCAATCATTGGAAAGATGTCATAAACCACTTTGGGTCATGACTTGATTTGTGTTTTCTTGATAATAGTTTTTTTACCCTTCTATCTGGCAACAAAACTGACACCTTTTTTACAAGGAGTCATGTTTACATAGACCACAATACCTGCAGACAATATTGTCTTTAGTTGTGCGCCTTTTGGCGTCATCTGGTCCAACCCATGTGAGACTAGGCTCTAAGGAAAGCTGTCTCGGGTGTGGACCAATCAACTTCAAGGACAGTGCACATTATCAGAGTTATGTTTTTTGTTTGCATTATGACTACATGTATTGTGGTCTATGTAAACATGACTCCTTGTAAAAAAGGTGTCAGTTTTGTTGCCAGATAGAAGGGTAAAACAACTATTATCATATTTTTTACTGGCAAATGAGGTTCCAATGGTTGTGTTTTCTTGTCAACCTCTAACTTCAGCAGTGTGAATGTGTTTAGCGAGGTGCAATGCCCCCCCCCCATCTCTACCCCCCTCTCTCCCCCTATCTCTACCCCCCCCTCTCCCCCCATCTCTACCCCCCTCTCTCCTATCTCTACCGCTCCTCTCCGCCTATCTCTACCCCCTCCCCACATTGTCTAACACACTTGGACTGTGCCCTTCACCTTCAGCTCCACCTCTATCTCGCGCTATACTTCTACTTCTCACGCTTTACTCCTACATGAGCACTGGCTACCCCGTCCATGCTGTTTACGCCGCACAGCTTTCCTTGCCGCTGCCTCGAAACTCTCGTCCCCCGCCCACTCACTTTGGAAGCCCTTATAAGCAGTTGCATTTGGAGGCTTGCGCCCTCGAATCTAGTTTGAACCACCTCTACGGGGAGGGTTTCCTCACAATCTCACACTTAACTTCTAATTTAGCAGTCTTTGGAAGAACGTAACCAACCAGGCTATGTTTTTTGTGTTAACCGCCTCTGTGTTGTGTTGCATTGCATTACACTTCCTAATTTTACTCAATTAGCTTTTTCAAACCTCCCATTTTCTTGCTCTAAATATTTCCGTGCTGGTTTGTTTATATTTCAGTCTCTCCTCCGGCATCTATGGTCTGGAATTCCACGCAACTTTTCTTTGGAGAAGCGTGGTCAGCCTCCGGCCACTATGGCCCAGAATTCCACACAACTCTTTCATTGTCCTCTGCCCCCTCCCCCCTCTATTTAAGGCCTCGACAGTGGCGTCGTCTTTGTTTGGCATTCTTTGGAGGAGCGTGGTCAGCCAGGTGGGGTGTTGGCTGTTGCGTTGGCCGGCTCTCTGTGTTGTTGTTGCATTGTTTCTAAGTTTACTATGTTTGTTTATTCTCATTCATTCTTACCTGGTGATGGCTGCTTGTGTTGCAACCGAAACATCGTATTCTATTGTTATTTTCTACGTGACTTTACCGAAAGAACCAAAGCGTAAATTCCTGCAGTCACGAAAGCTTCGAATCTAGTTTGCTATACAAATCTGTTTTACATTGCAATTAAAGAACCGAGTTCCAAAATAAAGTTAAAGTGTCTTCCTACCTGAAAGAGTGAAGGGCAGCACTATTTAAAAAAAAATGTTTTACTTCCTTTCTCAGGATGCCAGTCCCACGGTTTCTGTATGTTGTGCTGTCTCAACATGCGATTGCATGAGATGTCATGTAAAATCCAGTGTGTTGTATTGTGCAATGAGAATCTCACTCCATGGATTGGGCTTGCAAGCTTCTTTGCTGACATATTTCGATCAACGACACTGCAAAAAATAATGACGTCTCATATCTGGGTTTCCTTAAAGCGCTTTTATTAGAATTCTGCTTATTTATACGAATACTTTTGCTATTATGGAACTGGAAAAATTGGACTAAAAATACAAGTGCGAGTTTTAAAAATCATCGCGTTTCGAGCTAAATAAACATCAACGTGTCCTTCAAACTTATATTCATTTCATGGAAAAGGGTTACGTGGGTAAAGGGTGTTTTTTTTTAAACCTGTTCTTGATGTAACAAAACAGGAGCCACTAATTGACATTTTATTTTTTTTCCCTTTAAATCACCAATCGTATTCAAACTGTCCCACCGGAGTTGTGCGCGATCACTCCAAAATGCCTTTGGTCAGCAGTGTAACGTCACAATGTGAGGGGACAGTTCCGGAAGGCAACACCACAGGGTTGCTTCAATAGACCTCTCATACTCTTAGTTTTTTGGGTAAAGTCACGTAGGTAAAAAAATGAAATTAAAATTAATAAAAATAAAATAATAAAATTACGACGTTTCGGAGGCAGCACAAGTCTCTGTCATCAGGTGGGACCGTCACAGCCAAATTTGCTGTACCTTGGTACTGTGACAGTCCCACCTGATGACGGAGACTTGTGTTGCCTCCGAAACGTCGTGATTTTTATTATTATTTTTATTAATTTTAATTTCATTTTTTTACCTACGTGACTTTACCGAAAAAACTAAGAGTATGAATCCTTGCAGTCACGAAAGCTTCAAATCTAGACCTCTCTCACCCAACGCCGGACGGCACTCCTTCAATGCTGCGAAGAATGTTTTACGCAATGGCTGTCGTCCGACATGAAATAATTTGAGATGTTAAGAGATGGGCTATCTAGAACTTAAATTAAAACAAAAATTATTCATAGCTTGGGTTTCTAGTGCAGTCATTTGTGGCTGGACTAGCCATTTAACTCCGTACCTTTTCATACCTGGTTTAAATCACTGGCACTTGACACAGATTCAAACCCAGGTCCACCAGAGTTACTGGCTCATTGATCCTGACACAGGCATTAACCCCTGTAAGCCACCTCAACAAAAACAAATGTTTTAAAGGCAAATGCCTCGTGCTATTTTCATGTCATCTATAAATCGAGTAAAATTGTACCAAGGTGCCCATTTTGAACGGTGCACCTTATTGCACAGCCCCTGAAATTGGAATTCAATAAAAAAAAAGAAAACCCATCTTGGAAGAGGGGGGAATAAACAAAACAAAAAGCTGGACTCTCCATTCGCGTCGTATCAGTTATTTCTCTTCCCTCCTGATAATTTCAACCAGCCGCTGGGACCGACGCACTGCTGATATTTTGTAAAAGCATCCATATGGTGTTAAAAACAAAGCAAACACGCTTTTGGTGATCACACGTCCGACCACCATCGTTCGTAAAACGCACGAAGCGCGTCTCTTCAAACAACGCCTCGACGGAACAACAAAGACACGCGAGCAAGTTGCAGCAAGCAAACGAGTTATAGCAAAGCCTGATATAATACGAGAGCACGAACCAAGTCGACACCCACCCTCCATCAACACCGCCTTCTAACAGAAAACGTGTCCAGAAATGCATCGTCCCATTTAAAAGAAAAAGAATTAAAGAGCCATTTGAAACGGATGTTTCAATTTTTTTTTGTAAACAGACATCAGCACAGTACCCTCCTAGAAACTGGCATCGTTACATGAGAAAGCAGAACGTGTAATTTTGTACGTGAAGTTTTTTTTTCAGTGTCATAATATAATTCGAATTGTTCACGTTGGCAGGACCTACACATGTTAACTGTTTAACACGTCAAAGCAGCCAAGCCAGTCTGCGAAAATCTCTTCAGATTTGTTAAACCCGATTAACAATCGTAGATTGAACCCGATAAAATTTAGATACTACCAAGTGTGGATACAGTTTTATCCACCCAGCTCAAAATACAAATTATGTTTTAATGATCGATACCTTTGGGTACACTCTGTAGAGTATACATGGCATGTTAAAGTTTTGGTTAATAGTTCTACCGAGCAGTTTAATGACTTGGAGCGACTTGACAATTTCCGAGTGTTTCCAAGTCACCGCATTGCAAAGTGAGGTTCATTTCTTTCTAGATTTGAAGCTTTCGTGACTGCAAGGAACCATACTCTTTAGTTTTTTCGGTAAAGTCACGTAGGTTAAAAAAGAAAAACAAATAAATTAAATCCCGACGTTTCGGAGGCAACGCAAGCCTCCGTCTTCAGGTGGAACCGTCACAGCAAAAATTACTGTAACAGGCGAAGGGCGCTCCAAGAGACACACCACCTGAAGACGGAGGCTTGTGTTGCCTCCGAAACGTCGTGATTTAATTTATTTGTTTTTCTTTTTTAACCTACGTGACTTTACCGAAAAATACAGAGTAAGGTTCACATCAGTCAATCCCGGTCTCTCTGCTCCGAGGAAGGGACATAGCCGAAATCTATACACCAAGTGCTTACGTTTCCGTTTTAAGGCAGTGTTAACAGTGGAGGCGTTTTTGCTAGTGCGTGTACACCACTGATGATACTGCCTCTTTACTTGCCAGGCATCAAGCTGCCTATTTGGCAAGAAAATCTGTGTTTTAATTTTTTTATTGTTATGAAACGTCATGTTTTCCACCTCGATAATCTACCAGATGCACTTCAGCGAAATAAGCATCTTCGTGATTGACTGCGCATGAGCACATGCTGATAACGACGGCCACGCGTGTAGAAGACTTTTAGAAAACCTTATTACAAGTGTAAATTGCTGCAGTTACAATCGAGCTGGGATATTCCAGCAATCGTGAATGTCTGTTGAATATTCAAGTTTTCGGTTACTGTCAAATACTCTATTATATGCAGACACGTATGCAAACGCGACCTTTCCGTATGCATTAGTTAATACAAATAGTCCCGATAACATTTGGGCTTCATACGAACGTTAATTCAATGACCATTATCTTATTCATTGTCATATTGTATTGGTCTACCTACAGTGCAAATATAATGCACTGGCCATTGACGTAATTGTTGCGAAGTTTTTTTTTATATATACATAATTATTGTGATCGATAGTGCTATGCTGTTCTATTTTCTTGAGGGACTATCTTGGTGCGGTTTGGGACTGTTTTGTTGTTTTTGCTCCCTTGCCCAAGCTTGATAAATTGATAATTAAGTTTTTACTTGCTTACATTTAGTAACTTTCTTACCATTTTCTCTAGTTTGCGCTCGTATAATTTTTTTGCATTGTTTGCTGCTGTAACTTGCCGACCCGCCCATACCTGGACAGCGGCGAAAAATAATTTCATAGCTCATCGGATTCCTCCACTTTGAAATAAAAAATTATGATTCAGTTTGTGAACCAAGTCGCTCGATCATCCCAGCTCCATGCATGACGGTTCTAAGCACTACAGCTGTACGATTGTACCGTGTGCCAGTGATAATCCCTCTATACAAGCGTGTTTAGCCAGTGAGCGAAACCGCTGCAATCGCTCTCGCAATGCCCTTTCCCAGTGCCGTGTGCCAGCCTGGGCTGGCATATGATGCGAGGGGCATTGCCTGAAAGCTAACCCTCAACCTATAGGGCCAGGATGCGAACCTAACACTGCGTGAATCTGCAACAACGCACAACATATATACTCGGCGCCAATTTGTGTTTCTTTGCAGCCAATACTTTGGCCGTAAATAGGATCAACGTGTGAAGCGAGGCGGTTTAGTGGCGCCAACAAGGCAGCACGACGAGTACACGAGGGAGACCCGTGGGGAGCATTTACACGCTGGAGGCATCAAGATCCAAGCTCTGAACAGTCGTGGTCAGGGGTATAAGTACACCACCTGTCCGCATTAACCACCCAATACGTGCCTCTAAGGAAACAAGTCCTGCATTAGTCGGTAAACTCTCTACAAATAAATATGGGCCCCCCCTATTTCTGTACAGCGTCTTGAGAAGCGGTATAATAGGCTAGAATCCAATCGTGAAACTTTGACGATGTGGCACAACATAGGCTCGTAACAATGCATCAATTCATACTGACATGACACGCACCGAAGGTGTGAGAATATATGATTTTCACTTCATCTCTGTTGCATGTGATTCGTTCGTATGCCCCTTGACATAACAAGATCGGAACAACGAATCAGTGAACCAAGCAATTCACCTCCCCTGGAGTTTTAAACGAAAGGTGATCAAAAATTATGTAAAAATGGTGAATACGCGTTACTGCAGGGGCATTGTTCATAGCTCTGGACCTGTGCAGTCCCGGGTGGTTAAAGTTTAGGTTGTGACCCAAATGAGCCTCACATCCACATTTTGGGTAATTACCCCAGATGATACCACACAACCACTCAACCCTTTCCCGTTCTAAGACGTACTTAATCAGCTTTTCTTCCGAATCGGAAAAGGCCAGACAGGAGTGCACGGGGCACAGTTTATCGTCAGCTTCAACAACAGATCGTGCTTTTTCGTGGTACGAAATAACTATCCGCGTGTCAACTATCTGATACAATTATCACAAATTGTACCGCTCAAGCATTCTAGCCAAATTTAAATAACTCCCACAGTGAGTGTTTTTGTGCAATCATTGGGGGGTTTCTCATCCATCGCTGCTCACGAGAACCTAGTTTAATCATCATAGGTTTCCCAAACTCAGGACCTTCAGTGGTACTGGCCCAGTACCCTGACATTTACCATCATTATGCTTGACTACCGAGCAATGCAACACCAAATTTCACGAATCCTTGAGTAGGGTCCTGCCATGTTTTCGTAGTGGGGGTCTGGGTGCTATGTATATTTCAATTGAGTAATTCTTAACCCACGGGGTAAGAGATAGGCATGCAGTCACTCCCCCATGTCCCAATTAATTTACCCTTCTCATAGCCATAACTCGATGCACTAATCAATGTTTAAAATAAGTGCATTGAAATACAGCACTGTACTGTAGAAAGTGTGACTACATTATGAGACCTCCTTTGCCAGTAGCAAGATATAGTGATAGGTTTTTACCCTCTTATCTGGCAACACAACTGACACCTTTTTACAAGGGATCATGTTTGCATTAACCACAACACTTGCGGTCAAAATGCAAACAAAAAAGATAACTCTGATAATGTAAAGCTGTCTCGGGTGTGGGCGAATCAATTTCAAGGACAGTGCATACATTATCAGAGTTGTCTATTGTTTGCATTTTGACCGCAAGTGTTGTGGTTAATGCAAACATGATCCCTTGTAAAAAGGCGTCAGTTTTGTTGCCAGATAAAAGGGTAAAACCCTATTACTAGTGAGACTACATGTATGATATCCGTGCCGACTGATTACTTCAGGTTTTAGAAGTAATTCTGCAGATTGTTTATCAAATTAGACTAGGACTGCAATCTAATAATTAAGATATATAATGCAGATGAAAAAGGACTTCTTCGTTATCTGCAGTGAGTGGCTCCCACGACTCTGACCATTTCCTTCATGGGGCCAGCTTCTTGCTGCTGAAGACCAACAATTTAAAGCCACCACATGCCTCCATGCTCAAAGAATTGCCGGGCAGTTGAAATACCTCTGACGGAGACCCCAAACAGTGGTGGAAATTCCACTTCCCCAAGATAAACTTTGCACGAACTGGATACTTGTTTTATCGATCCAGGAAGAATGATGGACTGAGCTTAATCGACGCTCAAAATAAGATTTGAACTTATCTTATAACCTACTGAAATGCTCCGACCAAGGTACCAACGAAAGGTTTATAGAATTATAATTTGACGAGAAAAAGTCCTGTCTCGACTTCAAGCTGCCTCTATATGAAAGAGAGATTCTGATTATATCATCATCACTAAATGACCAAAATCCGATGCGACCCCATCAATAAAGAACTGCAATTGGCTCTCACGTGTAGCAGAATTCCCTTTGTACACATTGACTTGCCCCCTCAGTATTTAATTTTGATGATTCAGGGTGTCGATTCCATTGGAGTTTAACTTTTTTTCAGGTATGATCTCCAGTGGCTGCAGGGTTTATACGAAGCAATTTCAATTTAAGAGAATCGTAAAAAAAACTACTTTGACACGTGGTAGCGTGTATCATGAGCATAACCAACTGTAATCGACGCTCAAAGATCCCCCGTATAACCTGAACAGACTATTGGGGAAAATGTTGTTCGCGAGCACCTATTATATCCGGCATAGCATGCGAGGGGGTGGATGGGTGGCTGGCACCATGCCTTGCCAGCTTTGTCTCCCCAATGGCAATGATCATAGATCGCAGCAGGTACTCATGAGGAGGCTGAGACAAGAGGCCCAGAAACAGTTCAGATAATCACTGGTATTGGGCCATCAGTGGGAATCAAACTCTGGTCGCCAGGTTCATAGTGCAGCGTGCTAAGAACTACACTACTGCTCCACTCAAAACCAACCGCACACGTGCACACACCATTCACACTACTTTTCCTACCCTGGCCTCAGTAAACTCACAGCACCATCTCAGTGCAGTGACAATTACGTGCACCTATTCTCTCGGACTTGAAGGTGGCAGGGTTGGTGACCCATGCAGAGATGAGCAGTGGTGTTGGTAAGACACTGTCCGCTCACAAGAGAGACGGGTAACGCTTTGGAAGCGGCGTTGGCTCCTGTAAAAGGTGTCGGATCGTTTCTCCCCTCGCCACGTGGGTTTCCTCCATGCACTGCATTCCTCTTCTTCTGACACGCAAAAAAACTGGCCAAACAATCCAAGCGGAAGCCGAATTAAAACGAGTCTCGGAGACTTGAGTGATCTCAACTCGTATAATTGATTTTTTTTTTATCCTGGTTGTGAGAATAAGATGTATTGCATTCGCTGGGTATGTTTTTGGCGGACTATGTAAATAGCTTTGGAATAGTCGAGAGGTCAACATGAGTATTAAGAGGTGGGAGCTTGGTTTGAGGCAAGAATTGTCTTTATCAGAGTTGGACTTGAACAAAACAACTGGAAAATAAGCTTCTGGTCTTTGAATATAGGTGCATTGCAGGTGCTTGGAACTTAATGCAATGGTAAAACATCATTTTAAAAAGAGGTTCAGAAGAGAATAGGTTAAGAATGCAAGGTAGACGTTAAGAGGTTGCAATGGATAGGGCACACGTGCAGGATGGAGAAGGGCAGGTCACCAAGATAGGCATTGGAGTGGCGGTAGGATCCTGCAAACGCGAACATTGCAGGTTGGATATCGCCCATGCGATAGCCGAGGGTTCGAGCAGAAGCGATGGCAAGGAATGGCTTCATCACCAGCAACTGCCTGGACAAGCCGAATTGCTGTTATCCCGGATGATTAAGATTACTTCCAGTGGGAAAGCCCCTTTTTAAAACAAAACCTCACCTCAGCACTGACAACCCCCATGGTTAAAAAACCTCGGCCTCATTCTGTGGCAGCAGAAGAGCCAGACCTCAGCACTTATTAACGATAACAGACATAACGTTCACATTAATTCACCTCACTCGGTTATTTCCCTCGGGTGAGAAATCGCACAGACCGCGTGCTCACTCCGTGTCCCAGCATCTCAATCGGCAGACTCTGGTCTGACCACATTTCGACAATCCCATTCAAAACGCGGTACAAATTGTACATTCTCCCTTGCCAGAGGCCAGTCTCTCCATGCCGACGACCACAATCGACTTCTCACAAAGTGGTACTTATTTTTTGTTACAAGGAGATGAGGAGGGTGGGCCGATTCGATGTCCCCCAGTGAGATGAAAACTCGCAGCTGCCCAATGGGAGAGGTTGTCTCTCCGACCACTGAATCACCCAGCTGAAATGTCACCACAAGTCATCTCGTTAAATTGACATGTCAGTCAGGTGCCTAGCAACTCAACAATAATAATCACGTGCAGAAATATTTCTGGGGGAAGGGTTTCTAAACTTTGCGTCCTCGAGGTATACCCTCTAATAATTTTCTCTGTTCAGTGATCACATGCTGCATGCCGTCTTGTGTTTGGCAAACACATGACACACGCGCAAGACCTCAATATTAATTTAAAGTGGCGCTCTCTAGCAATGAGCACAGGACATGTTTATCGATCATCCGGTGCATGCAGCGTGCGACAGTCGAATTTGTGCCCGAACAAAGAAAAGACTGGCAAACGTGGAAAGGTGGAGGATGGCGAGGGCTGGAGTTTGTGGAACCGCACGTGAAGGAATCGTCCCAACGTTGCCAACATCCATCATGAGCACGAACTGTACAGCAGCCGGTGAACCAAACTGTGCGCAGAGCTGACTGGTCGATGGGTATGCACGTCCAATGAACGCATAGTTGCAAGTAGGGGAGTCCCGATGCATGGATTTGTCAATCAAAATTTAATCTTAACAATTGCGTAAGGACTGATGTTTTTCAATTCACGTTGCCTCTAAGTCATTAGAGGCACTATCATTCACTGCAATGTAACAACATATATTTTTCATTAAATCGGGATTCTGAATTCAGTGATAATTGCATTGCAATGTGACAATTTTATAACCATAGTTGTAAAGGCCTTTTTCAGCCGCTATTTAAATTATGACTGTACGTATATTGCACGATAAAACGATGGTTATTGGGAGGCACGTGTATTGCTAAAATTGTTACTTCGAGAATCTAATATTTTCATGTGGTCGTAACTCTTGAGCAGGGTGAGAAGCAATGGGAGAGAGCACACCATGTACGTGCTAGAAAACGTTGGCGACATTGAACGATCCTTGGGGCCGACCGCTCAGATAAACCCCGCTGGGTGTGCACGTCCCAGCAGACACTGCACGCGCTGAAAGACTGGCCTCTCAAACGCGCGCGCGTGTGTGTACGAGGATGCGTGCGTCGAAGGATTTAAGCGGTGTTGAGGGCTCCGCCAAACGGCCTTCACTAAATATCACCTACAGTGCTGAGCATTTTGCTGGCAATTACCCGCACTGCAATGGGAATGCCAGACACAGACGAGAACCCGAGATTGGCTCGTACACTCCGATCCCTACGCTTGCTCGCTTTGACACTCGTTCTCTCACGTGATCTCACTCACTCACACGCTCTTTCACCTATGACTAAATGATTGAATAAATCTCTGCCAAAGATCAAATAATCCTAAATGTGCCTGAGCTCATCACGTATCGGTTGACTACATGAATGCATTTGCCCATTCATCCACACTCACCTAGCCATCACTTGCCCGTGGTCTCCCACCCATCACTCGCTACAATAGAAATACGATTTACAAAGCGTCTAAATAAAACTGCCTCTCAAGGTACTTTACAAGCGTGAGGGGCGGCATTCATACGAGAGAGATGGAGAGGCGCAGGAGGGAATGAGACTGCAGAGCAGCAACGATGGGAATGAAGCGTAGGATGGAGAGAAACAGTCATATGTAGAAAGTTTCAAGCCTTAACTGGAACAGGGCGGGGGGGGGGGGGGGCATTCGTGTGGTTGTCAGACAGAGGAAGTTCCAGACTATAGGGACAGCAGGGATGGCAGTGGAGGAGTGAGTCCCCACCCCAACGATGATCAAAAGGTTGAGAGGTAGTCACTCGCCCCTCACCCACTCATCTCAGGCACTCTCTCCACCCTCCCATTCACTCACTCCTCACTCGCGACGTCTCCCACCCCTTTGCCCGCTATCTCCTCACTTGTCCCCCCACTCCTTTACTCACCCCCCCACATCCTCCATCATCACCTCACCCCTTCCCCCACCTCCTCTTCTCCTTCCCCCCATCACTCCACTGGCGTAGCACAGTCCTCCATTTTGCCATCTTCCAGCGGAAGTGACGAGGAAGAAGACGACGAGGTGGACGGGGTAGACAAGGCGAGGTCGGATGTCCCGCCCTTCATGGGCATCGTCGCCGCTGCCCCCTCTTCTTCCTCCTCCTCCTCCTCTTTGCCGTCGTTGGCATCTGGGGCGGCCGAGAGCGGGGTCTCTGGTCCTCCCGTCTCGCGTGGCAGCTGGGACCGGCACGATGTCGACGACGGTGATGACGACGATGATGGCTCTGGCTCTGGCTGTGGCTGAGAAGGAGGAGGCGGCGGCGATGCCGGTTGCTCCTCTTGCGTGCGCATCCTCTTCAGTGGGGGCGCCACCTCATCCTCCAGCACCTGCTGGGGTAACCAGCGTTTGTGTGCGCACACGATAATAAGGATGAGTTGATGGCTCTCTCATAGACATCGATACAATTGCATGCATGTATGTTGAACTTCTTTCGCACCGTATGTAGCCGATAGTGCAAATCGAAGGTGCGGGGGGGGGGGGGGGGGGAGGACAACAAACGAAACACAAAAAGCAGTTCGAAAGAAATTATTTTTCTAAACTTAAAAGTGCATAGCTCCAGCGGCTTCCTAATATCGGAAGAGCGTTCCAAAGCTTACGCATATTTGCATAGCCTACCCAGGCAGTTAGGGAAAGTCCCATTAGCATGCACCCATGAAGGTTACCACGGCACACAATGGGGTGGTTGTGACGCTAGCACCACACCGAGCCGCTTTCTCCCCCACTGCACCAAGTAGGACCGGTTCGGATATTCACATCCTGTCGATAGCCTTGAACCGAACTTAGGTCACTGTTTTCAGAGAGCATTGCGAAAACCACTACGCTACCACCACTCTACCCATAGCGCACACAAAATAAAGACAAATATCCCAATATCGCCTTAAAAGACTGTTGGGGAAAGTGCTGTTAGCGAGCACCTACGAAGGCCAGCACGGCATACGACGGGGTGGTTTGCCAGCACCACGCATGGCCACCTTTATCTCCTGAGTGGCGATGTTTACACATCGCACCAAGTACTCATTTGAGGCCGAGTCGACATAGTGGAGGCTGAGGACCAGTTCAGATAATCGTCAGTGGTGTTGGCAACAAAACCGCTCCACACACACTCGCAAATACACACAACCAATAATGATATTGACAGCTGCCAAGTGGCGCCATGTTGCGCTGAAATCAACAAGGCGCTTGCGCCAGGCTAGGCGTGTTGAGAGATAAAAGGCCTCGCAGCCGCCTGTGTAAGTTCCGGAAGGGACGTATCTTCGGCGCCCCGACACGGGAACGACAGCAGCCTGGCCACGATAATGAGCGTCCTATTGTGGGTGCTGTGTGTTCAGCGGATTTCAGCCGACGCTGGGCAATCGAGAACTCAAGACTCCTGGAGGAGAGGTCGTGTTCGCCCTCTGTGCCACTAAGGGTTTATTAAAAATAGTAAGTCTTACGTCAACATGCGCGCGCGCGCCCAACCATGCACACGCGGAGTTGACATGCGCACACATGAGCGCGCATTTCAAAAATGCGCGCACACAAGCATGTACAAACGCAGAGGAACACACGCACAGACAAACACGCATGCACATGAATACGCATTCAAAAGTGCACTCACAAGTATGTGCAGACACAAAACACTAAGACATGCACACATGTACAAAGATCCACCGTGTAGCATTAACAGTCTGTTAGACCAAGTACTGTTAGCGAGTAGCACCTATGAAGGCCAGCACGGCACACGAGGGGGTGGATGGCCAGCACCATGCCAGGTCACCGTTATACACAAGTGTACAAAAACGAAGATCCCCCGTATAGCCCTAACAGACTGTTGGGGCAAGTGTGCTGTTTGCCAGCACCTATTAAGGCCAGCACGGCATACAAGGGGGTGGGTGGCCAACACCACGCCCGGCCGTTTTTGTCTCCCTAGTGGCGATGTTTACACACCGCACCAGGTCCTCATTTGAGGCCGAGTCGACCTAGGGAAGGCCCAAAACCAGTTCAGATATTCGTCACTGGTGTTGGCCGTGAGCGGGAACTGGGCTCTGGTGCCGGGTTCGTAGCGCAGGGCGCAAACAGCTACACTACCGCTCCCCACACACGTGTATACACACGCACACAAACATGCACAAGAGCCCACATTCAAAAATCTGCACGCACACAAGTGTACACATATGCACCACCAGACAGATGTACACACACACGCAGAGACACCATACATAAAGCGCATTCATTCACGCAAGTGGACACTAAAACAGGTGGACACAACACAAGCAAGACAACACATACGCACAGACAAGCAATTGCACATATGCATGTTCAACACACAAGCGTGCGCACAATCACTTACACGCACACACAAGCACGTGTGCACTCGCACACAAACGCACATATGAAAGCACGCACACGTATACACACTGCACATGCAAGCGCGCACACACACTACCGAGCCACAACTACCACCACACACCATGTCAGCTGTTCAGAAACGCTCTTTTTAAAAATAATCATTATAATAATTAAATAATTCCTTGCGTGGCGCCCCCGTCACAGAGAGTGTCAAATTCACCTCCGAGTGCTGATGACGCGAGGCAGCTGGTACACACGCATGTCCGTACGCACACCAACGCACGCACGTGTGGTGGGGGGCGCGCGGAATTATCCTCAGGAATCCGTGTTCCTGCGACTGCTACAATGCTAACAAGCCGAGCCCGAACTCTAACCCTAACAAACCGGGCCCCGTGGGTCTGTGAGTGTGGGCGCGTATGGGTGTTTTATGGGCCCGTGTGTGCTTTGTATGGGTGGTATGTAGTGTGCATTTTCTTTATGTGTGATTGTGTGGATGCGTGTGTATGTACACCTAGCCTGGCGCAAGCGCGATGGGTGATGTCACCACCACGTGTTGGCGAACGGCGGTTATTTTTCTTGTTGTGTATATATATTTGTGCGTGCACAAAGAGCGGCTCGTGGTCGTGTTGTGGTGAGCACACCAAGCTAAGAACTCGGCAATCAGAGTTCGATTCCCACTGACGACCAATAAGAGTGGCGAATATCTGTGCTAATATTTGACCTCTTCAAGGTCGAGTACCTGGTGCGGTATGTAAACATCAGCAATGGAGAAACAAAGGCGGCCGTGTGTGGTGTTAGCCACCCACCCCTTTGTGTGCCGTGCCGGCCTACATGGGTTGTCGCTAACAGCACGTGCCCCAACAGTCTGTTAAGGCTATACAGGGGATCTTTGTGTGTGCATGTGTGTGCATGTGTGTGTTGCTCCATGGGGAGCGGTTAGCGCGCTGCGCTACAAACCTGGCGACCGATTCCCACTCACGGCCAACATCAGTGACGATTATCTAACCGGGCCTGGGCCTCCCCGAGGTCGACTCAACCTCAAATGAGTACCTGGTGCGATGTGTAAACATCGCCACTAGGGAGACAAAGGCGGCCGGGGGTGGTGTTGGCCACCCACCGCTTCTCGTGTGCCGTGCCGGCCTTATTAGGTGCTCGCTAACAGCACTTGCCCCTACAGTCTGTTAAGGCTATACGGGGGATCTTTTTATCTTTGTGTAGTATAGTATTATAGACTGTCGGGGCAAATGCTCCTGGCAAGCACCGATGAAAACTTAACTAAATGGTACCGTCACGTGAAAGGCAAGGAATGATGGATGGGAGGACTGATCCAATAGTCACAATCTTGTCTCTTTCACATTTCTAGCCTGCATGTAGCTTTTATGAGTTTATACTCTTAGGTTTTTTCGGTAAAGTCACGTAGGTGACTAGCTGTGATGGTCCCACCTGATGATGGAGACTTGTGTTGCCTCCGAAACGTCGTGATTTATCATTTTATTTCTATTATTTCTATTATTTTTATTTTATTATTTCTTTTTCCTACGTGACTTTACCGAAAAAACCTAAGAGTATGAATCCTTGCAGTCATGAAAGCTTCAAATCTAGAATTTTCTGAGTTTCGCATGAATTAAAGTGTTTAAATTAATAGGTGTCTATTTGGTATTTGAACATCTTAGCACTTGTATTATTGCTGGAATCGGTAATGCCTATTCATGTTTCATATTAGTATAATGGAATTTGGTTTAGCTTTAGTAGGTGTTTGCCCCAACAGTCTATAAGGCAACATAGGGGATCTGTGTATAAGGCATAATAGGATTGATAGAGGTAGCAATCAATCCTGTCGCCATCTATAAATCACCTTTTTCATGTACTATTGTTACGACTAAAGTTGACACAGAACATGACAGAGTGGCGTTCCCTTTGTCTCGCTAAGGCCGATATTTACACAGCTCACACCTGATACGGGTACGAAAGAGTAATATCACCCACTGCAACTACGTTGCCAGCAACTTTGCTTTGACTTCTGGTCAAAGACAACAGTGATACCTCACCGACCTGTACCTCTCTCCTTTGTATTATAAGAGCACGAAGGCAACAAAGTGGTGGACTCATGTGCCAAGCCGGTATTATTAAAAGATGCTCACTAACAACACTCGATCCTATAGTCTATAATACTAAATGGGAAGGTGTAAATGTGTTTTTTTGTTTGTGTACCTGGGGAGTGTGTTTAATTGGGACAGTGTGTTCATGGCAGCTCTGGTTTGGCGGTGGAGGTCATGTTCCCAAGTGTAACGATCAATTAGTAATTTGAATGCGTGCCCTACACTGTGCAAAAGTTGCTTGGCGTGCCTCTCCACATAAAGCGTCAGCTATTTCACGGCCACATTCAGGTCCTCTCATCTCTATGCTTATAATGCATGGACTCGATTAGCCATATCCCGTTCCGAGATGACTGCAAGTTGCAGGATGGGTCCCAATCACCTCCGAATCTCAGAACGTGCACGCGGTTCAGCGTTAATTTTATTTCGAGGTGTAGCGCTATTGTTTTTAAAGTCAATGTACTCACCGCAGAGAACTATTAGTGACACGACCGCACTCTATGATAGCTGGCGCCAATCTGTGCCAAATGCCCTCCCCGCCTGGCCTTGTCGCAGCCTCGGTACCGATAAAGTTATTTTATTTTTTCTTCCGCTTCTATTCCCAATGGAATCAAACGAAAAACTGACGATGTACACGTATGACATTGGAACGGGTTAAAATAAATATTCAAGCCGACCTGACTGCAGTCCATTCTGGGTATATCCAGACTGGACTGTGTAGGGATCTCACAGCACTTGTGTGCATATGAGTGTGTGTATGTAAGGAAAAGTGATGTAGTGTTTAACGCACTGCACGACAAACTCAGCGGACCAGAGGCTGATTCCTAGTCATGGTTAACGTGAATTGTGATATCATTATTGGTACTGGATCTCCCCTCTATCAAATCAGCCTGATACGAGTACCTGTTGTGGTGTGTAGACATCAACACTGGAGGAAAAAAAAGAGTGGCCAAGCATTGTGCTGGCCAAACCACGTGTGTCATGCTGGCCTTAATAAGTGCTCACAAATAGCACTTGCTTATATGGTTCATATATGTTACACAGGAGATCTTTGCCTTTGAATAGTGTACACTGTATGGTGTGTATGAGTCAGTGCGTGTTTGTGGAGCGGTAGTACAGCGATTAGCTGTACTACGAATCCGGTGACCAAAGTTCGATTCCCGCTTACGACCAACATCCGTGACGATCATTTGAACAGATCCTGGGCCTCCCCAGCCTCAAATGAGTACCTGGTGCGATGTGTAAACATCGCAACTGGGGAGACAAACGCTCACAGGCATGGGGCTGGTCACCCAACCTCCTAGTGTGATGTGCCAGCCTTTATAGGTGCTTGCTCACAGAACTTGCCCCAAGAGTCTGTTAAGGCTTTACGGGGGATCTTTGTCTTATGTCCGTCTCACCTGTCCGTGTAGAAATATGGGGTGTGGCTCCTCCTTGGTGAGTTCTGGAGGATGCTCGTAATCTGGCACAGACATGGCTGCTTCTATAAGAAGGCACAGCACACGCAATAGACACAATAAATAGACACACACGTATCAAATACAGTGCTTTTATGGCTTTGTTTTGGTGATTTCGAAAAGTTTTTTTGGTTTGGCCATGTTAGTTTGTTGTAGTACGGAGTTAGAATGATGGCCTTAATCTAAGTTGTCTTGTGGTTATTGTTGTTGTTTGACTTGCATCCCACTGGGATTTTTGCACACAGCGTTGGTGTACGGTGCTTTTTCTGCAATATTTTGCTGTCTTTTCTTGGATTTTCTGTTTGCACTTAGTCACATAGTCACTTTAAGATGTTTTCTTGTTCATGTTTAAGTTTTTTGTTTGTTGCGATTGCACCCGATTCAAGAGCCGAATGACTCACAGGGCTATACCAAATAAATGAAACTGAAATACACATTCTGCATATAACAGTATTACGCATATACACTCACGTACACAATGGTCAGTGCTTTTCTACCCGATGGTGTGTATTGTCAAAATGTACACTCGTGTTACTGTAGAGTTGGCTTGCTACTCTAGTGTGTTTTTATTACATTATTCCACAAGTGTTTGTCAAAGAGTGTCACCATAGTGTTTGAGTGTTACTATCATGAGTTACCATCTGTGTGATTTACTATCATTGGAGTCACTCCAATGTCATTTTAGAGTTTGTCACTATAGTGTGTTTGTATTACAACAGCAAAGGTCAAGCACTTTAATTGCTTGTTCACGACACTGTTAGCAGAAGGGCCTCCACTAAAGGGAATTCCAGAGAGCCACTCTAGAGGGTATTTGGCCTATTGTTCTACCTCTTACAAGGTCGGGAATTATAAGGTCGCGCTCATTACACGCCAAGTGCTTGCCACAAACGAACCACAATACCTTGCTAATTTTATCAAGGAGCACAAACCATCACGCAAACTCCGGTTGTCCTCGCAGCGGCTTCTGGCTAACCATCGAACAAAGACGGTCAAACTGCATCGCGCACTTTCAGATGCGCTTCTGCGGCCGTCTGGAACGCTCTTCCTTCCAATATTAAGGAAGCCACTGGATCTATGCACTTTTAAATCTAAAACTGAAAACTCATTTCTTTAGAACTACTTTTAGTGTTTAGTTGGTTGCCCTTCCCCCGTGTTTCCGATTAGCAGGGTTGGCTACTTACGGTGCGAAAGAAGTTCAACAGACATAAATACATACCCCGCACTTTACCCCACCATACAAGGCCTGCCAATCCGGCTGCGGTTGTACCTATTTCTACTGTAGGATGGATGGCGGCGGGGGAGATTTGCAAAACTTGCCCCATTATTTGAACTGCCACACACCAGGAGATCAAATTGAACTTGCGACCTGAGGATTGCAAGTCAAGCATGCAAACCATTACACCATGGCAGCATTAATGCTATAGTATTTATACATACTCTTTGGTTCTTTCGGTAAAGTCACGTAGGTATAACATTTTATAAATCACGACGTTTCGGGCGCAACACAAGCGTCTATCATCAGAGTGTGTTGCGCCCAAAACGTCGTGATTTATTTTATTTTATACCTACGGGACTTTACCGAAAGAACCAAAGAGTATGGATTCCTGCAGTCACGAAAGCTTCAAATCAAGATTGCTATCGTATTTGTTGATAAAAACATGCAAGTGTGCACTTTTGCATTACTTCCATGTGGTTATCGCTATACTGTGCATTTGTGCGCATCAACTAAAGTGTGTGTTGTTAAAATAGTGTGTTCATACTTGTGTGTCACGAGAATGTGTGTTTGTGTTTAAATAGTTTGTGACTAGCCTGACTAAAGTAGGTATTTACGTGACCTGTCAATCTATTTTTCGTTACTACTGTTTACTATCTTACGTGCTACCAGAGTATGCCTGTTACTAAAGTGTGTGTTACTAGTGTGTGTGTCTATTGTACATAATACTTTAGTAGGCGCTACTATCGTTTTTAAGTTACCAAAGTCTGCGTAAATATCGTGCGTGCGTGTGTTACTACAGTACGTTTGTGTCACAGTGCATCGTGATAATACGTAAGTTCACGCACTGCGCTATGAATCTAGCGACCCGAGTTCGATTCCCGCTCGCAGCCAACACCAGTGAAGATTAGCTGAACCGGCCCTGAGCCTACCCGAGGTCGACTCAGCCTGAAATAAGTACCTGATGCGGTGTGTGAACATCACCACTCGAGACAAAGACGGCCAGGCGTGGTGCTGGCCACCCACCTTCCCATGTGCCATGCCGGCTTTTATAGGTGCCCGCTAACAGCACTTTCCTCAAAATCGTGTTTAGGCTATAACGGGGGATTGTTGTTTTTGTTACCATACGTGTATGTGTTACTGTTGTGTTTGTACACCACTCGGTGCTTTTGCGTTACCATCATCTCCAAGAGCCGGGGGTTGGCTTGAAATGTCTCTTCCAGGACTGGAACACCCACTAACATCGTTACTGTTCTCCTCTACACAACGACACACCAACAACAACAAAATAATGAATGTGTCAAGATAACATGAATACGTCAACACTCACAAGGCAAAGCGTATCCCCTAGGGCTGGGATAAATTAGTCAATTAAGTCGATTAATCGACGAAATATTGTCACGGACTACTTTTTTGTGGTCGAGTACTCAGGCTCCTTTAACTATTTTTTATTTTACCAGGTAAGGCCCACTGAGCTACATAAGCTATTCTGCAGAAGCAACTTGGCGACAAATGATAGCTCAACAAAGTGGCTTATCGTGTGGAAATGCGTAGCAGCCAAAGAAGCTTAAATGCACGTTTCTAAATATGGAGGGAAAAACCGGAGGACCTGCAGGAAAATACACGCGGCCACGGAGAGAGAGACAAGCAAACTCCAAATATACGGGCATGGTCAGGGCCGGGATCAAACCCACAAAACCTCCTGAATACCTGATGAGGTAGTTAACATCTTACCACTGCAGCGAGATGTTAAACTATGACAACAAAAAGGTGATAACAAAAACACGCAGTCTAACGCAGATGATGCCGACGACACCACAAATGCCCTGCTCATCATGTCCAGTCCAGCGGCAGATGTGAGGAGAGGTGAGAATGTTTTCATCCAATTATTTTCGTGTTATTCGAATAATGGAACCGATCATCCGTAATCGATTACTCAAGCAATCAGAGAGAGCACAGCTTGCGTCTCCCTGCTCAAACAAGAAATGTGGCAACACTAATCTTTCTCCGTGGCCAGTGGTGAAAATTCCATATTCTCATGGCAGGGACTAGTGTATCCACAGGACAACTACTGCTGCTTTCCCACAAAGTGGTACTAATTTTATTTACCTCAGAGGGATGATCTAATCTAATTTATATTTATAGAGCGACTTCACTTACAGCGCTTGACATAAGCTTACAAAACGGTGACAGAATGGAGTGATGTAGTTGACAGGGGCTTACAAGAATTGAGGAATGAGAGACAGTGACAGAGAGTACTTAAAGCTTACGAAAGGGTACGGGGAGGGATGGGAAGGAGTGGCGAGGAAGAGAATGGGCAATAGAGAAGAGGTGAGGGCTTTAAGAGAGGAATGGGAGGATTTTAAGGAGGGGGGGGGGACTGCTTCATGTACAAGGAAAGTTAATTCCAGTGGAAGGGTGCAAGAAGAGGAAAAAGAATCGAAAACGAGATTGGGCACAGGGAGGAGATAAAGATAGACAGAAAATTGGAAACGAACAAAATGAAGGGATATGGAAGGGAATGAGATAGGCACAATAAGGTTGGGCAAGGCCGTGTATGATCTTCCACGTGTAAGCAGAATTCTGAGCATCGAGAAATCGATGCACGAGTTGGTTCAATAACACAAGCCTCACGTCAACAAAGTGGCCACAAGATGGCAGTATAGCCAAGTGTTCCTTATTCTAACTCAGGGGTCGACAACCTTTTAAAGAAGCGCCATTTTTTTGTTTTTGTCTCTGACCAACATAGTTCGAGAGCCGCATCACGCGAAGAGCTACTTGTAGACAACAGCAGATATACAGAAGATGACAACCATTCTGCCTTAAATAAACAAAATAGGTGATGGAATAAACTGTCTCTTTAGTTTTCCCGCCCCCCTTTAGTAATTCTTTAACAATAAAGTTTGACTGTACATTTCGATTTAAAGCTTTCGTGGCTGCAGGGATTCATCTTCTTGGTTCTTTCGGTAAAGTCACGTTTACCGAAAGAACCAAGAAGATTTGACTGTACAATTTGTCGTCACCAAGACATTTCATAGTGACCCACTCCCTGCCAAATTTAATCAATTATCTTTACGTTAAATTATGTTTAATTCTTACGGGGTTTTTTTTTAATGGCTGCCCGCAAGTGGGCAGCCAAAAAGCCGCGTGCAGCTCTTTGGCTGCGGAGCCGCAGGTTGCAGACCCCTCTTCTAACTGCTCGAAGCTTTCAGTGCTGCCTCTCCTACACGCGAGTTTTCCCCAGATACAAATCGGTCACTCCATTCTGTTGTCCAAAAAGAGTTGCCACAAGTTGCTCGGCTCGTGGATAATGCATTACTGATGTTTGCCATCGGCCAAAAAAAAAGGGCCCAATAAAATCATCATGGCCTTAGCAGATGCCACTCTTAAGGTATAGAGCACACGGGTCTGCAACCAAAATCCTATTTTAAAAAAATTCTAAATCGGTAAAAAAATAAACCCGCAATATTTCAAGAGCCGCAATGCATGTGAATAAGAGGCAATGGTCCTTCACAAATTACGTCACGGATCAGTCGTTAAAGAACTGCATGCGGCGCGGGAGCCGACCCCCTGGTATTGCGTGTAACGACTGCCGCCTAGTGGTATAGCAGCCTGCTGAGCAAGTGGGAACGACTAACGCAGCGCGCATCGCAAACCCCAATCAAGCACAAATGCTCTCGCGACCCCTCCAAACAGCCCCCCACACAAGTTGTTGGGACGTATAAGTCAAACTACGTTGGAAATTATCCCCGGCGTGTTCTCTCCTCCTTTTGGCTGCCAATCAATTGTTAAGTGTCGACCACCGGGCCATCCATTAAAATCTCTTCTAGCCACGTACCCTGTCCATATTAAACATCCCTTTCACCTCTACTATCTTCGTTTACAAGAAAATACCAAACCATTCTTGGAAATTAGCTGTTAACTGGCGAAAGGAGGCAGTTTCTGTGCCAGTTATTGCCGGAGGCACTTTTGGCCAAGAGTCAAGCACTGTAGGTTAAACAATTAAAATGGTGGCAGCTCTTGCGGTTATTATACGAAAGTCTAGAAATTGCGTAAATGCAACGACACTGGCATCATAAAACTAAGTGTTGCGATGCGTCTCTGCGTGTAGAATGGAGTGTACCGACACACCATTGGCCTACAGGAGGTTACGGAGTTCTTTCTTAAAAATTTGTCATATATGGTATTCATTCCACTGCTTGTGGACCCCACCTGAAAGGCTTTCACCCCACTCCCACCCTCCCAAAGGGGGGTACGGCTCAAGGATTGAGAATCGGTGCACAAAGGAACCAAACAGCAACGATACACCCGATTTTTTTCAGGTGTACTCGGATTCACGATTAATATCAATTAAGGCACACCATGTGGAAATTACATGCTTTTACATTTCAGCAAATGCAGTGGACAAAACTGTATATACGAGACAAGAAAACATATCATAACAAATTCATCGAATCGCTGGGAGGCTGAATCGTCACATCCATAAGCAATACCACCATTACCACTATGGTGACTACCACCACAAGACTACTACCACCGTTTCCACTATCCCAATATAACGAGTTCTATCACCTATACCAACGCTATCAACATTACCTCCATCACCTCCACCATCACAACTGCAACCAATACCATTAAGAACACCAGTTATTACCATAATTATCACCACCACCAACACCACACCTAAACTACCATTACAACTAGATTCTACATTTACTACCACTTTGTCAACATCACCAGCACCTCGCCATAATCACAAACTTCATTACCAAAACCACAACAGCCATCACCACCACCACCTCCAGAATTTACTGCTGATTTAATAAGAGTCTTAATGTTAGGGATCAGGGCATGAGCTGGTGACAAAGTTAGGATACACGATAGTATTAGGTTAGGGTCAAGATTAATGTTATATTCAGGGTCAGTCAGATTAGATCAGGGTAAGGGTTATGGCCATTGTTAAAGTCGGTCAGGTACGGGGGTTAGGATCATGTTAATGTAATGGATAGTCAGTAATAATGTATGAATGTATGTTGAACTTATTTTGCACCGTACTCAGCCAACCATGCTAATTGGACATGCAGGGGAAGGTTTGGGTGGGTGGTTGGATGAGTGCATGGATGAGTTGGTTAATTTGGGTGGATGGGTGGGTTGGTTGGTGTGGATGGGTTGGTTGGTGTGGATGGGTGGTTGGATTTGTTGGTTTTGATCGGTGGTCAGCTGGTTGGTTTGGTAGTTGCGTTGATGGGTGTGTTGCTTTGTATTGGTGGCTTTGTTTAGGTGGGTAGCTTTCGATGGGCGAGTTGGTTAGGGCAGGTGGATTGGGTGGGTAACAAGAGTGGGTGGGTGAGAGATTGAATGATTGACAGAGTGAATCAGTGGATGGTTAAGTTTGTGAGTAGGTAAGTGACAATGACTGGGTGTGTTGTTGTGACCTGCAGTATGGTGGCTGAACCCTTTGTGGATGAGATGAAGTCTTATCGACAGAGCTTTCAACAGAGGAGGAATCAAGGAGTTAAGTTCACGGGATAGTGGTTTGATGGATGGTGATGGTTCACATTGGCAAGTGAAAACCTACACTGTGCTGCCAATGGTGGTTGTGTGTTCTACACAGCAGTGGCCAGATCATTAAACTCGACCAAACTTGCTAATTTCACATCATACAAGACACTAAGGCCCCAAAAGAAAGCCCACGTGGCCCAACTCCAGTGCCATATTTTCAACTGTTCTATCAATTCCTACTGGCACCACGGGGATCATCGCACTAGGGATGAACGATTTGGGGAAAACATCTAATTGCGATTTTTCTGACAGATATAACAATTTGATTTGCGATAAAAATATTTAAGTCAAGCTTCAGTTCAATATACTGTGTAATAGATTTTAAACATGTGATGGAGCATTACCGCATGATACCATCAAAATATGAACTGCTCTATATATTCTAATGCAAGGATGAGAACTTTAAAGCTATGAATTGCTTCCAACATGTATTTATTAAAACGTTTTAATTGAAATAGAACAATCAAATATAGAAAAATTGTTAAGTTAAATAAAGTTACAATGATAAAAAATTTAACAATTTCAATAATAGGACTTTTCAAATAGCCTTTGCGATTTCCTAATCGCATTGTTTCAAATTGCGATTTCGATTTGAAATCGATTCATTGTTCAGCCCTACTTCGCAGCCTCATCTGCCTCTTAGTGTCAGGGTTAGAGCGAGTGTTAACGTCAGGGTCAGTATTATTGTCAGGGAAAGGGTCAGTGTCAATATCAGGGAAAGGGTCAGTATTAATATCAGGTTAGGGTCGGTGTTAATGTCAGGGGTAGGGTCAGTGTCAATGGCAGGGGTTGGGTAAGTGTTAATGGCAGGGGTAGGGTAAGTGTCAATATCAGGTTAGGGTCAGTGTAAATGGCAGGGGTAGGGTCAGCGTCAATGTCAGGGTAGGGTCAGTGTCAATATCAGGGTAGGGTCAGTGTCAATATCAGGGTAGGGTCAGTGTCAACGGCAGGGGTAGGGTAAGTGTCAATGGCAGGGGTAGGGTAAGTGTCAATGGCAGGGGTAGGGTAAGTGTCAATGGCAGGGGTAGGGTAAGTGTCAATGGCAGGGGTAGGGCAAGTGTCAATATCAGGGTAGGGTCAGTGTCAATGGCAGGGGTAGGGCAAGTGTTAATGCCAGGGTCAGATTTAGAATCCTAGTGAAGACGGGCTTAAGCTCGAACCTTGGTACTCAGTCATGAGTGGAGAGGAGCTGTTTTCAGGAGACGTGTGGGCAGACAGGGACAGGGATTTCCCTTGAACCGGCCTGCGCGTTTTCTGCATGCACACACATATACACACACACTTCTATAAACAAAGATTCCCACATGTAGCCCACTTAGACAGTAATGGCAAGTGCTCTTACCATGCACCGAATAATGCTGGCAGGGGACACAAGAGGGTGGTGTGTTAAGCACACAAAGATCCCCCTTATAGCCTTAACAGACTGTTGGGGCAAGTGCTGTTAAGAGAGCACCTATGAAGGCCGGAACAGCACACGAAGGGGTGGGTGGCCAACACCACGCCCAGCCGACTGTCTCCCGAGTGTTAATATTTACACACCGTACCATGTACTCATTTGAAGCTGAATCGACCTAAGGGAGGCCCAGGACTGGTTCAGATAATCGTCACTGGTGTTAGGCGTAAATAGGAATCGAACTCGGGTTGCTGGGTTCGTAGCACAGCGTGCTAACCGCTACACTACCGCTCCCCACGCTCATACGGTCACACACACTCGCTGGAGCGAGTGTTCTGGGATCAGCAGTGTGCCTCCAAACATTGTCCCCTCGCTGGGAAGATCCATCTCTCTCTCCACTCTCTCCATACTCTTTACAGCTGGATGGAAGCAACCAAATATTAATTAAACACATTAACATAGGCTTGCAGTGGGTAGGGCTTCACGAACCTGTCTTTGTAATTTTATGCCAAGTTTTATCATAAAAGTCGATGTCCAATGAGAGCACAGTAGTCCACGGAGAGGCTGAGCCAGCTCGCCAGATTCACACGCAGAGCCGGCTTGCTTTCCACCGATCATGGAAATGTGCCATGGTGACATCATTGTCTCACAAAAACAAGGTTGTTTTCCACCGACTATTTGCCGAGCCGAGCCAGAACCAAGCTGTGAAACTCTGGCCTCACAGGACACATGAATCTGGCTCCGAGGCCAAGCGGGGTGACGTCAGCAGCACCGGCTTGGGTTTTGCAGTGGGGAAAATAAATACTCGTGTCATGCGGGGACCCAACAATCACCTCAAGGGGTTTCCCATCCAGCACTGGCACCCACTTGTAGATGCGCAGTGACGTGTCTCCGACGGTCACCCACCGCTTCTCCCTGCACATGTACAGTACAGGAGACGTGCAGAGGTGAAATCTCTGTGATTGGAGCTCACAGGGCAGACTCGGGTGCTGTGTGGATGGAGAGGTCAAGTTTCCCTATTGGACAGGTCATGGAGGTACAGAGCAAGGTGCTGTTGGGTTTTCAACATAATGGTGGAGTTTTGTGTTTTTGATTTTAATAGACAATACACACTTTTAAAAACTTTACTTATTTAACCCATTGTGATGCATCATGCCTTTGCAAAACCTGTCATGTCTCCTTGTGTATCCCCTGCATCCTAAAGTCCCCGTGTCTCATTTTCAAATGTTCCTTCCCCATATTAACTAACATTCACATTTCCCCCCACAATTGTTGACTCGTGTCTTCCATCTATCCCCGCCTAGAACCAAACCAGCCAGAATGCGCCAGACCTCATCACATCTCAGAAGCTTATGAAGTGTAATCCCTGTTACTACAATGGATGCCAGGTGTTGTAGGCTTGGGCTACGTAAGTGACTGGGAGATGGCAGCAGGGCAACATTCTTAAATCCATCTATGCAAAGCTTTCAATGTAACCCTCTCTCGATCCCCAGGTATGTATCAGTCTTTTCCAAATTCTTCAGTTTTATCCCTCATGAAACCAGAAAATGGCCAATCATCCCATTACACGGACCCTCCTCAGCAAGTCTTAAGAGGCTCAGTGATGCTCTTCGTGGAATACAATTTTTAATTAAAATGGCATTATTACTACTTATTCCTCCCACACCTCATCATACCTCTCTGTACGTCTCTTAAGAATTCCCATCTCATACGTGTGTGTTGTATTTCTCTTGTCTAATCACGTCTCACCATTACATCCCATGTCTGCCTAACACTTGCCCCCATCATCCCGTCCCTTATCCATTACCCGTGTCTTCCATCTCTCCCCGCATTTCTTGGATGCACATTCACACACTTTAAAGATGTCGGTAATGATCAGTATCAAGAAGTGGCATTTCAATTCGGAATAATCCGTCGTCCAACACCACGGCGTTAGACATACTCAAGACAAACTGACTTTCATCTGGGATAAGAAGGTGCATTCAGTTTGTGTAAATAGGAAAGCATTGACTTGTACCATGAATAAGCCATGTTTTCTGAAATCACTGTTTTGATAACCTTTAAAATAACACCAGATCATGCATGTTATTTTAGGATGATTGCGAATATTGTGGAACTGCCCATGTCTCCACCCATGACTTCTCTCTTGCCTTTCACAATCCCTTCATATGCATTTTGGTCTCCCCCCCCCCACCCCATATAACACCGTCTCCCCACATCGCTTAACCTCCCTGGCTCTCCCATCATCTCCCGCTGTCTCCCCCATCTCTTACTATTTATCCTATCAAGCAGTCAATGGTCAGCATGCCCCTGTCTCCTCATTTTTGACGTATCTCCTCCCACCCCTGATCTCTAACCAAGTCCCGTAAAATCACTCTCCCCTCTATCCCGACCATCTCTCTCGTCTCACCGAGTCTCTCGCCCCCTGTTGTTCTTAGTGTATCAATGTCTGCGCCTCTCTCTCTTCCGTCAAAACAATTCACGCCCATGTGACTCCTCTCCCCACCCCGTCTCCCAGTGCCTATCCCCTCTTTTTCCCATCTCCCAGCCTCTCTCTCTAACCCATGTCGCCTGGAACCTCCCCCCCGTCTCTCGCCATTCTCCCAGTCTATCTCTCTCCTTATCTCCCCGTGTCGCTCCCCCCGGCGTCTCCCTCCTCGTGTCTCTTTCGCGTCTCTCGTCTCCCCGCGTCTCCCCGCGTCTCTCGTCTCCCCGTGTCTCTCTCCCCACGTCTCTAACCGTCTCTCTCCCCGTGTCTCTCCCCACGTCTCTCTCCCCACGTCTCTCTCTCCACGTCTCTCTCTCCACGTCTCTCTCTCCACGTCTCTCTCTCCACGTCTCTCTCCCCGTGTCTCTCGTCTCCCCGTGTCTCTCGTCTCCCCACGTCTTCCTGTCTCTCTCCCCGTGTCTCTCTCCCATCTCCCCGTGTCTCTCTCCCCACGTCTCTCCCCGTGTCTCTCGTCTCCCCACGTCTCCCTGTGTCTCTCTCCCCGTGTCTCCCTCCCCACGTCTCCCCGTGTCTCTTTCCCCACGTCTCCCCGTGTCTCTCTCCCCGTGTCTCTCTCCCCACGTCTCCCCGTGTCTCTCTCCCCACGTCTCCCCGTGTCTCTCTCCCCGTGTCTCTCTCCCCATGTCTCCCCGTGTCTCTCTCCCCGTGTCTCTCTCCCCACGTCTCCCCGTGTCTCTCTCCCCACGTCTCCCCGTGTCCCTCCCCACGTCTCTCTCCCCGTGTCTCTCCCCACCTCTCTCTCCCCACGTCTTTCTCCCCGTGTCTCTCTCCCCGCGTCTCTCTCCCCACGTCTCCCCGTGTCTCTCTCCCCACGTCTCCCCGTGTATCTCCCCACGTCTCTCTCCCCACGTCTTCTCTCCCCGTGTCTCTCTCCCCACGTCTCTCTCCCCACGTCTCTCTCCCCACGTCTCCCCGTGTCTCTCCCCACGTCTTTCTCCCCGTGTCTCTCCCCCCGCGTCTCTCTCCCCGTGTCTCTCCCCCGCGTCTCTCTCCCCGTGTCTCTCTCCCCACGTCTTTCTCCCCGTGTCTCTCCCCCCGCGTCTCTCTCCCGTGTCTCTCTCCCCACGTCTCCCCGTGTCTCTCTCCCCGTGTCTCTCCCCCCGTGTCTCCCCGTGTCTCTCTCCCCACGTCTCTCCCCACGTCTCCCCGTGTCTCTCTCCCCGTGTCTCTCCCCCCGTGTCTCTCTCCCCACGTCTCCCCCCGTGTGTCTCTCCCCGTGTGTCTCCCCCCGTCTCTCTCTCCCCGTGTCTCCCCACGTCTCCCGTGTCCTCTCTCCCCGCGTCTCCCCGTGTCTCTCTCCCCGTGTCTCTCTCCCCACGTCTCCCCGTGTCTCTCTCCCCACGTCTCTCCCCACGTCTCCCCGTGTCTCTCTCCCCGTGTCTCTCTCCCCACGTGTCTCCCCGTGTCTCTCTCCCCACGTCTCCCCGTGTCTCTCTCCCCCCGTGTCTCTCTCCCCACGTCTCCCCGTGTCTCTCCCCACGTCTCCCCGTGTCTCCCCCCGTGTCTCTCGCCGTGTCTCTCTCCCCGTGTCTCTCTCCCCACGTCTCTCTCCCCACGTCTCTCCCCACGTCTCCCCGTGTCTCTCTCCCCGTGTCTCTCTCCCCACGTGTCTCCCCGTGTCTCTCTCCCCACGTCTCCCCGTGTCTCTCTCCCCCCGTGTCTCTCTCCCCACGTCTCCCCGTGTCTCTCCCCACGTCTCCCCGTGTCTCCCCCCGTGTCTCTCGCCGTGTCTCTCTCCCCGTGTCTCTCTCCCCACGTCTCTCCCCACGTCTCCCCGTGTCTCTCTCCCCGTGTCTCTCTCCCCACGTCTCCCCGTGTCTCTCCCCACGTCTCCCCGTGTCTCCCCCCGTGTCTCTCGCCGTGTCTCTCTCCCCGCGTCTCTCACCATCTCCTAACGCGGTCTATGGCCGCCATCACCCGCTTCATGTCGTCCTTGGCGCGGCTCCGCGTCTCCGCTCGCGCCGTGCGCCCCGACATGGCGGGTACGAGGAGGAGGAGGAGGCACACGGAGGAGAAGGCAGCAGCGGAGGATGATGGAGGAGGTGGAGGAGGAGGTGGTGATGATGATGAAGACGATGGCGACGAGGAGGAGAAGGGAGATCGCGACAGCGCCGCCCGCGCCGAGAGAAGAAGTTGAGGGAAAGTTCGCGCTGCCTGCTGGGAAATCAACAGGCGTGACGTCACGGGCCCCGCGAGAACATGGCGCGAGCGCGCGTCACGTGACCGGGTGGTTTTGGGTGGGGGGGGAGATTGGGGGGGTGGGGGGGAGATGGGGGGGGGGGAGATGGGGGGGTGGGGGGGGAGATGGGGGGGTGGGGGGGGAGATGGGGGGGTGGGGGGGGGGGAGATGGGGGGGTGGGGGGAGATGGGGGGTGGGCTGGGGGGGGGAGATGGGGGGGCATATTGGGGGGGTGGGGGAGGAGATGGGGGGGTGGGGGGAGATGGGGGGGTGGGGGGAGATGGGGGGTGGGGGGGGGAGATGGGGGGTGGGGAGATGGGGGGTGGGGGGGGAGATGGGGGGTGGGGGGGGAGATGGGGGGGTTGGGGGGGAGATGGGGGGGTGGGGGGAGATGGGGGGGTGGGGAGAGATGGGGGGGGGTGGGGGGGGGAGATGGGGGGGGATGTGAGGTTAAGGATTGGGAGAAGTTCAAGTTCATTAGGTATAGCCTTGTGAGCCATTCGGCTCTTGAATCGGGTGCAACCGCAACAAACAAAAAAAACTAAAACATGAACAAGAAAACATCTTAAAGTGACCATGTGACTGAGTGCAAAAAGAAAATCCAAGAAAAGACAGCGAAATATTGTAGAAAAACACCGTACACCAACGCTGTGTGCAAAAATCCCAGTGGGATGCAAGTCAAACAACAACAACAATCACAAGACAACTTAGATTAAGGCCAGTCTAACTCCGTACTACAACAAACAAACATGGCTAAACCAATACACTTTCCGAAATCACCAAAATAAAGCCATGAAAGCAATGAAACAGTGATCATAAGAACTGTGACGGAATTTTCACAATAAATGGCATAAACAACATGTACTACCAAAACCCTGCAGCCATAGCTGGCTGCATGAGTCACTCCACAACAGCAGGAGCATCAGTCGGAGAGGTGGGAGGTGAGTGGAGTGGGGGAGAGATGGGAGATGGGGGATTGGGAGGAGAGATGAGAGATGAGGGGAGAGATGGGAGATGGGTGGAGTGGGAGGAGAGATGGGAGATTAGGGGAATGGGGGAGAGAAGAGAGATGAGGGAAATGGGGGGAGATATATCAGATGGGGAGTGGGAGAGAGATGGGAGATGAGAGGAGTGGGGGAGAGGTGGGGGAGTGGGGGGAGAGATGGGGGAGTGGGGGGAGAGATGGGGGAGTGGGGGGAGAGATGGGGGAGTGGGGGGAGAGATGGGAGATGGGGGGAGAGATGGGGGAGTCGGGGGAGAGATGGGGGAGTGGGGGGAGAGATGGGAGATGGAGGAGAGATGGGGGAGTCGGGGGAGAGATGGGAGAGTGGGGGGAGAGATGGGAGATGGGGGGAGAGATGGGGGAGTCGGGGGAGAGATGGGAGATGGGGGAGTGGGGGAGAGATGGGAGATGAGGGGAGTGGGGGAGAGATGGGGGAGTGGGGGGAGATGCAGGGAGTGGGAGATTATGGGAGGGGGACAGAGAATGGAGATGAGGCGATGGGGGGTGGGGTACAGCACCCTGGAGCGGGAGCTATAGGTGTTTCGTGTTGGTCAGCCCCAGAACCACTAGGAGGGGGGTCCAATCTCTAGGTGACCCACATCACCTCGTCGCGACCTCTGAGCAAGGAGTCCCCCGATCCATTCTCTCATTCCTCAGTCCCGCTCTCCTCAGTAGAAGAAAGTCCCTCATTCACCTCGGCTAGTAGCTTGGTCAACCTTAACTTATTTGTCTCGTGATGTGAGGCCTACACATTGCTTGGCACGTGTCGTGACGGGCACTGCAAGATGCGACCACGTCCGTCCAGTAATCGCCGAGCTGCATCGGCTTCCGGTTCTCTGAACGAATACATTATAAGGTCGTACTCGTTACGTGTGTAGTGACAGGGTGCCATCTGTTGACCATGACGGATGACTACGGGTATGGGTGCGCTATATAACAGCCAACCACAAGGGGGGCGTAAATGAGCCAAGGGTCAGAGGCGGGGATCAGTCGGGAAGCTCCTGGAACCTGCATGAGAGTTCTAGAAGGGAGGCGTGGCCAGAGGCGGGGCTTGGCCACGCTGAGGAGTATATAAGAGGGAAGCAAACAGAGGTTCGTGGCTGTCGTGGGGGTTCGGGTCCTGGCTGCCGTCGCTGTCTTCGCCGTCATCTCTTCTTCATCGTCAGCCCAGTATGGTCGACCCGCTGTACGGTCCCCATCGTCGTCGTCACTGTATTAGTCAGCCAGCTATATAGTTCGGCCGCCGGCGATGTGGCTGTATGAGTTGGTCAGCATTACGTAGCCCAGTGTATATGTCGCTCAGTGATTCTGCCTGTAAAGTGTGAGAAATAAACAAGGGGCGCTCTACACGACGTGTCTCGGAAGTCGCTCACGACACATGCAAAGTGCTTTCCACGAATGAACCGAAATACCTCGCTGATTTCGTCAAGGAGCATGAACCATTACGCGGCTGTTGGCTCGCCATCGAAGCAGTCAGTGGCTCTGGATGAAGAGGAAAGACCCCAGCTGGGCCCCAAAGTGAGAGGGCCAGGAGGTATGCAGTCAACAATGCTTGACTCAGGGAGGAGGACACCGCTGCCATGCATAGTCCCATGGGATGTTGGCTATCAACAACAAGGCAACTCCTATGACTAATTGGGAATGGGACGCAAGCGTAGGATTGATCACCCTGTCGCTGGCCGCCTTTGGGGAGGGTGTATAGTATGAAAGGCCGAAACACCCTAGGAACCAAAGGTTCACTACTGACGATGCGCTCCCCAAATTTCACCAGGCTCACTGTTCATGAACTCTTGGAAGTGCTTGCACAAAGGATAGTAACATCTCATCCTGTGTTCTTTGGAATCTGAATATGTATCACGCACTTTCAGATGCACTTCTGCGGCCATCTTGGAATGCTCTTCCGATATTAGGAAAGCCACTGGAGCTATGCAATTTTAAATCTTGATTGAAAACTAATTTCTCTAGAACTGCTTTTTGTGTTTAGAATGTTGTCCTTCCCCCACACCTCTCCGATTAGCGCGGTTGGCTACGTACGGTGCGAAAGAAGTTCAACATACTGTACATACATACTACATGGACAGGGATGTCAGGGAAATACATTTGCAATGATCATTATTTATAATGATATCTCTAAAAACTGGATCTTTTCCTGCAAGTATTATAACTTGAAATCAAAACATTGTCTAATATGTATTTCCACTAAACATGAAATATGGTCTTGGGTCTCTCCGACATGGATCATACGGGGTGTTTCAAAAAGATGGACATAATTTCACGATGGCAACATGTTACAATTACACAAAAAGTTACGGTTTATTGAGTTATAAAGTTTTACTAACCATTTTATAAATGTTCTATGTGCCCTCCACCTGCTGTACAGACAACATCGAGACGATAGTTGAATTCGTCCCAAACGCCTTTCTTCTCACGTTTTCCTCTGAGGTGCGTGGTCGCCCTGTGCTCTTCTCCTGACATAAACAGCAGCCTGCTTCCTCAAATTGTCGGTACCAACGACGAATGCTCTTTGACATTGGCGGATCAATGCCAAAATGCCGTTGAAACGCACGCTGCACCGCAATTACGGATTCAGTCTTGCTGAACTGCAGAACGCAAAACGCCCCTTGTGTGTTGCGGGGTCACTGTCTTGCGAATGACTGAGGCTAGGGGCTGTTTGTGCGCTGGGAGAGGCATTTGAAACTCTATGCCCCGCCCTTTCAAGTGGTAACAGTTTCATTCATGGGCGGTTCGTGGTTACAGAGATATAGCGATTTCAAATCGGGTCCATCTTTTCAAAACACCCTGCACTGTATTTCTATAATGATTGCAAATATATGTTCCACGACTCGATGTGTAACGGCTGAATATTAATCTGCATTTCAAACACATATCCAATGCAAACATAACATGCTGAACATCTGAGAACTGCAACAACTTTATATGCAGGAATAACTGCCCCAAATAACGTTGGCTGATCAGCGATAACCATCATCTACAGTGGTTGGAGTCTTGAACGTTTGCATCCTAACACAGTGTGTCCCACTAATAACAAGGCCTTGCTTATACTGGTAGGAACCTCCTGATTACACCAGCTCACAGGGTATTATTGTGTCCGTCCGTCCGTCGTGCATCCAAAAATGGGAGGGATGGGGCTGGGTGGAGAGGGGAGGGTGGGGAGGGGCTGGGTGGGGATGGTGGGGAGGGGAGGGAGGGTGGGGCTGGGTGGGGGGTGGGAGGGGTGGGGCTGGGTGGGGTGGGGCTGGGTGGGGAGGGGCTGGTCACCCCGTGGTGCTCTTATAAAACTCAACGTTTAACCTACTCACGCCGGCTTGTGCCCGCCCTCACAGTCGGCCATATTTGCGGAATACACCACGCCGCCGTTGACCCTGGCCATTGACCGAGCAGCCCAACGTTCCTACCAGCTCCCTCCGCAGTAATGGTTTGCACCATGTGCACGACCCAACACAGAAGATCCCTGGGTTTAATCGCCCACAAAACGCATAGTTTACCCTAAATCGCATCCACACAAATCATGGCAGATGCGTCTACCTTAGGGGGCCGTCCATAAATGACGTCACGCACCTAGGGGCGGGGGGGGGGGTCAGACATTTGTGACGATGTGTGACGAGGGGGGGGGGTGAGAAATGTGACGTCACATCAAAATGCGCAACTTTAAATAAATATAGGCAACACGTTATACTGATCTTCTTGGTTCTTTCGGTAAAGTCACATAGAAGGAAAATAATAAAATAATAAATATCAAACATAATAAAACACAATTCTCACGACGTTTCGGCCACAACGCAATGAGTCGTCCTCAGGTGAAGAACAGGTCTGTTGGAAAGACAGCATCTGAATTAAATAGACTTTTTAATAAATGTTTTCTCCTACAACATCGGAGTGCAGCGCCACATTAAATACGCACTACAATGACAATAGTTTAAAGCGATTCGAAGCATGTTTTA